CCTACTTTAAATACATAAGTTAACCTCAAGGATAGTAAAATCTTACTTTAAATACATAAATTAACCTCAAGGATAGTAAAATCTTACTTTAAATACATAAATTAACCTCGAGGATAGTAAAATTCTACTTTAAATACATAAATTAACCTCAAGGATAGTAAAATCTTACTTTAAATACATAAATTAACCTCAAGGATAGTAAAATCCTACTTTAAATACATAAATTAACCTCAAGGATAGTAAAATCTTACTTTAAATACATAAATTAACCTCAAGGATAGTAAAATCCTACTTTAAATACATAAATTAACCTCAAGGATAGTAAAATCCTACTTTAAATACGTAAATTAACCTCAAGGATAGTAAAATCTTACTTTAAATACATAAATTAACCTCAAGGATAGTAAAATCTTACTTTAAATACATAAATTAACCTCGAGGATAGTAAAATTCTACTTTAAATACATAAATTAACCTCAAGGATAGTAAAATCTTACTTTAAATACATAAATTAACCTCAAGGATAGTAAAATCTTACTTTAAATACATAAATTAACCTCGAGGATAGTAAAATCTTACTTTAAATACATAAATTAACCTCAAAGATAGTAAAATCCTACTTTAAATACATAAATTAACCTCAAGGATAGTAAAATATTACTTTAAATACATAAATTAACCTCAAGGATAGTAAAATATTACTTTAAATACGTAAATTAACCTCGAGGATAGTAAAATCCTACTTTAAATACATAAATTAACCTCAAGGATAGTAAAATCTTACTTTAAATACATAAATTAACCTCAAGGATAGTAAAATCCTACTTTAAATACATAAATTAACCTCAAGGAAAATACGTTCCTAGGTTCAAAACATAAAATTATCCTGGCAGGAAATGGTACAACGTGAATTTTTTAGGGATGCCTTTTTTTTTTACTTCATTATTAACTATTGACTCTTCTGTTTGTGACAGAGAACTTGAGAAACAGATTTTTAAACAGCGACAGTTAGAATGGGAGGCCGAACTTCAACGGGCCATCAGTTGACTGACTTCAGAAGATGTAAGACGACGAAAAGAGTATCACTTAAACGTTGGAATCCTGGTGCCAGAAGAAGAAGAAGAAAAGAAGAAATAAAAAAGTGTTTTGTGAAAGATTTTTACAAACCGACTATCGACCGTTCATAATAAGCAAAATAAAGTTAAGGTTTCCCTAATAATCAGGAAAGCTACATCTGGTGTCTATCATATCACCTATAAAAAAAAACAAAAAACAACAACAATCAGTCAATATATCTTGCATTGAATGTGTGTGTAAAAAAAGAAGAAGAAATAAAACGTTAGGTTCCGAATTTATGTATATGTATTGTGATATAAAAATGTATTTTTAAATATATATTATTTTTATAAAGACATTATTTTATACGCATCACCAAGTTCAACACATTGAATTGTTACATAGTCCACTAAAAACGAGACCGATCTTCAGATTCTGTGTGATTATTACTTGTTTTGAGACTGCACGTGCCTTCATAAGATTTCTCCGCGGAGAGAAAGCTCTGTTAAGTGCGATCTGAAAATCTTGGATTTAATAAAACAAGGAGAATGTGTGCAGACTGAAGACACTTATAAAACTTCGTGAACGTGCGATGTTTTCTAAAACAGTTAGAGCACGTGCAGATTTACTGGTAGCAAACAAACATGTGCTTGGCTGTGCGATGTTCTCTAAAACAGCTAAAGCACGATAGGTAGACAGACAGAGAGATAGTAGGTGTAGATAGATAGACAGGTGAATAGAAGGCAGATAGACAGATGGATAGAAGGCAGATAGACAGGTGGATAGAAGGCAGATAGACAGATGGATAGAAGGCAGATAGACAGATGGATATAAGGTAGAGACAGAAGGTAGACAGATGGATAGAAGGCAGATAGACAGATGGATAGAAGGCAGATAGACAGATGGATAGAAGGCAGATAGACAGATGGATAGAAGGCAGATAGACAGATGGATAGAAGGCAGATAGATAGATGGATATAAGGTAGAGACAGAAGGTAGACAGATGGATAGAAGGCAGATAGACAGATGGATAGAAGGCAGATAGATAGGTGAATATAAGGTAGAGACAGAAGGTAAACAGACAGATAGAAGGTAAATAGACAGATAGAAAGTAAGTAGAAGGTAAATAGATACAGACAGATAGACAAATAGAATAAAAATAGACAGATGGATAAGTAATATTAAATGCTTATCATAGTAAGCTAGCTACTTAGGACAAAACTAAAAACTAATCCACTAATGAGTAGAGCTGATTTAATACTTGTAAAATACGGGACGTGGAAACCTGTTTTACATACGTTTATAAAACAAAAACTGTTGTTTTTATTTAACAATGACGTTTCGAGCAACTGCTCTTCGTCTGGATTGATATGAGAACGAACGTACGGTGTATGATTCAAAAATAATGTGTTATTGTAAAAACAATGTAGACATAACACTAGACAGGTTATCTTAACGCAAATATATACAATGGACTATATGCAATCTTTACATCACTGGAATCGAACCCCAAGTTTTAGCAATTTTACCGTAAACATACCGCTGACCCACAAGAAGGAAATATTAAACTAAAACCATGTGATACAACATAAATAACATAATGACGTTAAACAATATAACATATCTATATAAATATAATAGTATTGTCTGTTGTATGTCCACGTAATTACTTCGCAGGGTATGGATTGATCTTCACCAAATTTGGAATGGAGGTTCATTGGCTCCATGAAAAGGTACGTACAAACTTGCGGTTTCACATTTTGTGTTTTGTAGTTTTTATGGGAATTTTTGCGTTTTTTTTTTTACAACTGCATTTAAGAGAAGCAGCTCTTCGTGTCCTAAGATAACCTTTCATTAATCATGAATTTACATAACTTCCGTCCAGGGGATGGGTACTCCAGCATGTATATATATATATGCAATCGAATATAATCAATTAGCAGTATACACCGTTAGAAACATACATTACTTACATACATAGCTATTGCGAATTAAGGCATAACAGGGGGATAAATAAAAAATATAACACCCAGTAATCTGAAATGGGGCTTAAAACTGTGTCTGTCGCGTCTTCAATACCGCTGTGAGGAGAGTTAAAAGGCCTTGGGACGGAGTTGTCTTTGTTATCGTCACCTTTAATCATCTTGATGTCTCTACAGTGTATAAGGACCCACATTTTAGAGCAGTGGATACAATAGATGATTTACTGCGATGTACACGTTAGTCGTTCCTAATTTAGCAATGTAAGACTAGAGGGAAGACAGCTAGTCATCACCACCCACCGCCAACTCTTGGGCTACTCTTTTACCAACGAATAGTGGGATTGACCGCACATTATAACGCCCCCACGGCTGAATGGGCGAGCATGTTTGGTGGGACGGGGATTCGAACTCGCGACCCTCAGATTGCGAGTCGAGCTCCCTAACCACCCGGCCATGCCAGGCCTCGGACAGACAAATAGGTCGACGAACAGACATACAGATAAATAGAAGGATGGACAGACGAACTAGATAGATAGTAAAAGAATTCGTTAAACATTACATATTTTACAAAACATATTTTATGGTCTGTACACAGAACAATGTTAAGATGATCTGAGTTTAAGAAAACAATAATTGTTAATTCTTAGTTTTCAAACTTTGGAGTCATATAAAACTCATAAAGTACGTAGCTTATTGAGAAACAACTGTTACATCATTCTAAAGTTTTGAAATGTCCTATCGGTTATATTAAAATACAGCTATGGTAAAATAAAGAGCAAGTGCTTGTTTATTCTCTTCTGTGGTTCTTTAAAATCGAAATAACTGGAACAACTTGAAAAGGAATAAATTTTATTTTCAAGGTTCGGAATAATTTATCAGCTACATTAATGTAAAACGTAAATATACTGAAGTATGAGCTAATTGGAATACTTTTTTATTAAGTCATTTGGGGGGGGTTGTTTAAAAGTAGAAATGACTGGGATTGCTTCGAAATACATAGTTTAACAAAGACTACGCAGGTGAACGTGACAATAATGTATGCAGCCTCAAAAGGACTAGTTCCGTTCTAAATCGTCTATCGTAAACATCTGTTAATTCTAATTGAAAGGTAGTGCTTAACCATATGACAGACTATAATTAGTTTGGGAGCCTAAACAAATGAAACTAACAAACTATCAATGGCCTCATTTCAGAAATCTTTTAACGATAAACAACTCATGCAAAATTTTATTTGTCAAAATATTTTTCTGAGACATAAATTGAGCATTTTGCGTCTCTGTAATTTTTTTCACTTTCTGTAAGTGGACCCCCCTTTTTTTTTCTTCAGCGTATCAGAAATGTTGGTTCTTTTCTCCACGAAACCGTGAAAATAATTTCCTATTTCCATGGAAACCTCATGTTTGCTGACTTGATCATCAGAATAAATAGATTTACAGCGATAATACTGTTTTCATATATTCAAAACCATAATGTGAGTACATTTATAACGACGTTATCAAAATGAATTGGATCGGTAACTTACACAAAATCATATTCATGTCTGCAAACTTCGTGCAAAGGAACTCTTAAGACACCGGATTAAATCATTTTCAGGCGTCTTTATAATTCATGGAAAGGATTGTTTGTTTGTAATTAAGCACAAATGTACCCAATGGGCTATCTGTGCTGTGCCTACCACGGGTATCGAAACCTGGATTCTAGCGTTGTAAGTCCGCAGACACGCCGCTGTGCCACTGGGGGGCCCATCATAGAAAGTAGTTTAAGGGGCTGGTTTTGAAAACCACTTATATGTTTGTATATAATTCAAAGTAATAGGGCTTTAAGGGGCTAGATGAAAAATTTGCAGATATGCATAATTTACCTAAACTGTTTATAGAAAGCTGAAAAAAAAAGAAATTTAATGTATCTATAATTCATGGAAATGAGTTACAAGAATTTGGATGAAATCATTTTTATGTGTGTATAATTCGTTGAAAAGGGCTGTATGAGGTTCGATTAAATCATTTTCATGTGTGAATAATTTGTTGAAAAGGGGTGTATGAGGTTCGATTAAATCATTTTCATGTGTGAATAATTTGTTGAAAAGGGTTGTATGAGGTTCGATT